GAAAATAGTTCCAGGATAATAGTGTATTGTAACCTTTGTGACAATACAAACTGGCACTTGACCCACTGGGAGTTCAGATAAATGCAATTCCTTGGTAATTCATGTCCAGTTTTATATAGTCACATCTTTTTCTTCTGTATGATGGAATGTGAGGCACCTCCTGAGACATCAGCTGTACACTCTCATCTACTCAGAAAAAGCAAGCCTTAGTTGGGCAAGTCAGAGCTTCTGAAGGCTTTATGTATCTTAACAGCTAACATCCCTCCCAAAGTTCCTGGGTGGCTCTCATGTCATTTTCCCATATTACCACTTCGGAGGAGTCATTCAGTCAGACAAAATTTGTCTGCTAATGAGGTACCACAAAGCTCTTTTTACTCCACTGTCTGATTATTTGGTCTGGTAGACCCATTCATGTATCCTGGATTTGAGATAATTTTGAAATCTGATCATAAACATTGCGCTTTTGTGTGTCTTAATCTGACACTTGATGGATTCAAGAGGGTGGATGAGAATGTTAATTTTCAGTAGCAATGAATAAAACCAAACAAATTTGTTTTAGCTCCTCTTGTCAACAAAGCTTAGAAATGTGATTCAGATGGTCTCTGGCAGTCCAGTAAATGGAGGGAAATAAAAATCATTTGACATATATTTATTACTTTATTTAGGAGTTAGGGATAGCTATTTCTTTATCTATCTATCTATCTATCTATCTATCTATCTATCTATCTATCTATCTATCTATCTGCAGGTTTTAGCAGCCTCACTGATGACTTCTGACTGCTTGAATTTGGTAGCAATGAAAATCTTCTTCTCCAGGTTCCTCATGAAGGTCAACCCCTCCCTACACTTTTTCTTTGTGAGTGAGATACAGGTTCTGACTCTATCATTATGTCACAGAAGTCAATACACTTTATTTTACAGGCTCTCTGCAACACTTGTTTTCTGACTGCCTTCAGTCAGTCCAATTTTGGATGTGGAAGAACATCAATGATTAGGCTGGAACCTTGCAGAAATTTAGAAGAATCTGCTCCTCTTTCTGCTCTCCACACTTAATTATTATAGTTGTGGCTTGTATCTTCAAACAATACTCCATAGTGCAAACTGATAACTAATGTTGGGGAAAAAGAATAAAGAGCAAGACCAATTATATCTCCATTATCTGTTCACTAAGAGTAGGGTAGCCACAATCACACATTGCAAAATTAAATGTCTCTTAATCTGAAAACTCAACATTTCATCCACTTTGTTCACAGCACAGCCATTAAACTCTTACCTAAAACATAGAACAAAGTTTAGACTTCTAATAGGAAAGATAGAAGACAGCAGAATTTATAATATACCACAAGCAAAACTCAAGAAAACTGAAGACTGAATTTATCACATTTAACCTTGATAACAGCAACTATTATTTTATAATATTTCTCTTAAAGAAAGAAAATAAAAAATATATGTCTCAGGGATGATAAAATTATTCAGTTATCTATGTTTTACTTTGCTTGTATAGGGCATTTGTAATATGAGGGATGATAACCCTTAAAATATAGAAAATCAAAGTTAATCTCAGTAACATTTTATTCTATTTTAGAAAGAGTGAGAGGTTTATGCAATTGCTCTGTATGACAATATTTTTAGGAGTGTAAAAATAATTAAGTATGAAGTTTCTGAATAATAGGTATAATTATTCATCTATGAACTTCATAAAAACATTAGCAAGGGAATATGTAGGAAAAAATGTGCTCCTCTGTAGAGATAAACACAGAGTATCTCTCAGCAATTGCCTATATAACACAAAATTGCCCATGTCAAGAAGCAGGAAAAGACAAGAAAAGACAAGAAAAGAAAAGAAAAGAAAAGAAAAGAAAAGAAAAGAAAAGAAAAGAAAAGAAAAGAAAAGAAAAGAAAAGAAAAGAAAAGAAAAGAAAAGAAAAGAAAAGAAAAGAAAAGAAAAGAAAAGAAAAGAAAAGAAAAGAAAAGAAAAGAAAAGAAAAGAAAAGAAAAGAAAAGAAAAGAAAAGAAAAGAAAAGAAAAGAAAAGAAAAGAAAAGAAAAGAAAAGAAAAGAAAAGAAAAGAAAAGAAAAGAAAAGAAAAGAAAAGAAAAGAAAAGAAAAGAAAAGAAAAGAAAAGAAAAGAAAAGAAAAGAAAAGAAAAGAAAAGAAAAGAAAAGAAAAGAAAAGAAAAGAAAAGAAAAGAAAAGAACAGGAGAAAGAGAAAAGCTATCTGAATTTCTGAATTAATAAGTCTTTACATATTGTGAGGGCCTTCTCTGACCTGAACTTCATTCAGCACTCATTGCTGCTGCAAATACAGCATTGATTTTGCAGGCAATGCACAGCAAGGGACAAGGATGGTACCCTGAAAGAATAGAGACAAATATGCATAAACCTGCCTATATTTCTTTATGCCACCATCCAAAAATGAAGGCTAAAGAAAGGCTGCAATTCCACAGCAGTGAAGTCATCAGGAGGTAGGAACAGCTAGAAGTGAGAGGAGATTTCAAGCAAATAAGGGTCTCCCAGACTTCAAGTTTTCCTTTAAGTGCTCTGTGTACACAGTTTAATCCTATGATTTAGGTGTGTTTTCTAATACTTTAATGCTGCTATGCTTGCTTTTTGCTAGTGACCAATAAGCTGAAATGCTAGCATTGACTTTTGTGGCTTAACTGAGCATGTTACAATTATGGATATTGTTTCCTCGTCTACCAGACTGTCACTCTGAAATTCCTCTGACAGGTCTCCTCGTCTACCAGACTGTCACTCTGAATGAAATTCCTCTGACAGGTCACTGGGCACCTCCATCAGAGGCTAGGGACAACTGACAAGCTATACTTTCCTGCTACACTTTAAGCTTTGCCTCCTCCGGTGACACACAGTAGATGGCTGTGTGTGGATTCACAGTCTGCTGAAAGGAAATGGGTTATTTAAAGCCATTTTCAGCCAGTCTGACTAATCTGTTAGCTCTGCACTGCAAGGAACAAATACACAGTCACAAGGTAATTCCAACTTGAGTCTGGCACACTAGATGAGGGTGAAGCAGTTAATATCTTCTGGTCCTCTTCCATTGCCCTGAATATCTAAATCACCTAAAAAATGAAAAATGGAAGGGTGTTTTTTGTTTTGAAAAATGTATGTTCTCTGTCAGATGACAACCACATTACTTTGCCCTATTTGTTTGGTTTTTTCATGTCTTACACTCTTAAATTGAGCATAAGAGAAAATATAATGGCAACCAATTTCTTTTTGTCTTACACTTTTGTTTCCCATGAAAAAGTGATCTGAAGTTTCTTTTTATTTTTTTCTCATATACTGCTAGCAGTGAATTTTGGAACATACTCCATTCTGCTTTGTTATTTCAGACCTAAAGGTAACTGAGAATGTAAAATATCTATAATAGGAATAGGAAACTAGCAGGTTTGTTGGAAAGATGTTTCTTAGACACTTGAGAGCATACTGTGTCTCCAGTCTAATTCTATGACAGTTTCACCAAAAAAAAATTATATGAGTTTACTAGAACCTTATTTAAGCAAAGCCCTTAAGCACATTATGCATTTTTAAAACTGTGACTGAATGCACTTAAGTGCTTTGCTGTATTCAAGTCATAATGATTATTACAGTAATTAGTGTATGCTGTTATATCTTGTCAGTGCATGTATTTAATGGTTATTGAATGAATAAACTGATTAATAACATCTGCAATGAGAAAAGGAAATATAATTAGCTTTAATATAGTGAAAATACATTTTACTGTAAAAAACTCATCCCTCCCTATGTAAGAAAGTTCACATAACCATTGGTAAAGGTATGTTCTTTCTATGCATATGCCTGTGTATGTTTAATAACAACTGACAGAAAATCTAACATGTGAGATGGCTTGGAAATTCTTTGAGTGGGGTTTTTTGTGTGTTTTGGGTTTTTTGGGGAGGGGTGAGGTGGTGTTTTCTTTATTTGTTTGATGACAATTTATTGGAACAGAATTCCTTTGAGGAAATACCTCAAACAGAAAACAGGCAGGTTTTCAAAAACAATGTCTGACCCATATTTTGCCCCCTGGTCTGAGCATCCAGGCTTCATGAGACTATCCCTCTATTTTGATGGTTGCTGTGGCCCCCAGTCTTTTCAGACTCTTTTCCTTCAGGCTAAAATCCACAATCATTTTGATCCCAAGACTCATGCACACATCACAGACACAGCACTGGAAAATGTGCAACTTTCAGGTGGTACTTGATTCCTCATGGCTTGAAAACAATTTTTCCCATGCTGTGAACTTCCCTCTCTGTTAGCTTCCAAGACTATTTTAAACCCCAAACCTGCCTGTTATCCACGAATTTGTAGAGGGAGAGAAAGGAAATGCCTTTTAATTGTAACTTTAAGATGTTCTAATTTTAATTTGTCTTTCAAATATTTCCCCAAGTTTCCCATCTAACGAGATTACTATTTTGACTTTTAACAGTGACAGCACCAGGACATCAATCAGCTTTGTCTTCTTTTTTTTCCTGAGCATTCACAGATTAGGTAAACACTGTAAATTCTTTCAATGATTTAATAAATTATTTAGTGATACACAAGATTCTGAAGCACATCTGGGTATGTTCTCACTAGTATATTTTTTTAAAGTCTCAATATGCATTGTTTTCTTTAATTATTAGTCTTCAGTGGCAAGTTAGAAGGCAAGAACTTAAAATTCACTTACAAACAGGCTATTTAAAATATGAATTTTAAACCTGACATTTAATAGTTAGCTGATAGTATTCCCTTCCTTCCTTAGACCTAATCCCTAATAAATTAAACTGACCAATACATAAAATACTGTGACAGCTTTTACTAGTATATTATACAAAAAAATTGCAAGCATATATGAGATGTTGCATTAAGAAATTTTAAGATTCTTAGTAGGATTCATGGACAATATCAATTTACTTGGTGTTATGTCAGTGCGCTTTATAAAATTGGAAAAGACTACAAGATTGTTGGAAGTATTTCGAAATCTCAGTTTTGTACAATACATCATGCTTAAAAACTAGTTTTATTTGCAAATGTATTAGTCCAATTAATCTCAAGTAGGAAAAAATTCACAATCAAGAAACAGCAATTGCAAAAAAGACACAGCTATGTTATCATCTTGATAATATTCCATAGTATATTTTCACACAAGTATGATTTTAGATTTAGATAAGATAACCATAATGCACAGTTACCTATAAACTAAATATACATTGTTTTCTTCTGCTGCATCAGTAATATGAACTTCTCTTGAGTATGTATGGTCTTCTAGCTTTGTTCACATGTAGCTGCCGTTTCAGAATATAGGGATTTTTTCTCTTCATTATTTCCTTTTCTTGGCTTGAGTTCTCCAGATCAAAAGCATCTTGCTGAAGTAACTGTAGGATGTGAGAAGAGACACAATGTTATCAGCTTTTTTTGGTAATGAAAATCATGATCTCCTAGAGACTTTTCTAAAATATTATTTTAACACCTGCTACCAAGAAAAACTAGTATAAATAGTCAAAGGTTTAAAAAACAAAAGATGAGCTGAGCCCTACAGAGGTGATATTTAAATGCCACTGAAACACATGACATTATTGGGTTTGACTAGAGAGGAAATCTGGTATATCCTCCTTGCAATAAAACTCAAATTGGCACTCTGCAATCACTCATTTAGGCTAAACATGTACACACACTGCTTGCTGGTTTCAGCTTTTGAGCAGCATTTTATTCTGCAAATTCCTACAGCTAAAAAATCAAAATGTGTAATAAACAAATAAGAAATTAAATAAAGCACAAGGAAGCAAAAATTTTACCAATGAAAATTTCATATATTAATTGTATTTAAAAGTTTTACTTGGGAGTTTTTCAAGTGTTTTGTTCAGATTCGTTTTTGCTTTATCTGTTAACGCTTAACCCATTCTCTAGCCACATCCTTCCATGGCCAAGTACAGTCCAACTGTCTGGCTGAAAGGCATTAAACTCAACACATTTTTATACTCACCTTAGTATTTCCCTAAGCAAATCAAACTGTTATTCACTTAATTACTTAATTACTCAATAAGTGACAGCTCATCTAAATTCTATTGAAATGTATGGAAAGACTCTCATAGTTTCAACTTTGGAGCCAATCCTGGATGAATATGATCACAATTACATAAATTGTTTATTTCAAGCCTTCTTCAATCCTTCCCTTTCTGGCTTCATCCCTTCTTTTATTTTGACATGTAAAACTCTGCATTGCATCAATGTCTCCCTAAGATGAGAAGAAATTTTTTTGCACTTTCACACACAGTACTGTTCAGAATGGTGATTCCCAATCACCACAAGAGGTAATCCAACTGCAAAGCAGGGAACTGTGATTAGGTCTTATAGGTTATTGCATATTCGATTCTATGGTAGGTCCTTATCAGCAATAAACACAGTGAGAAAAATAGTCCTCAGAAAACTCTGATTCTCAAAGATGTTGCAGTTTTTTGTGTGGACCACCCCAGCTAACATGAGGATTGAGAATAAGCCTGTGTATACAGAGCTGTGGTCCATTAAAAAACAGATCACCAAGATTCAGCCAGACTGTCACTGAACTTGAGAATGCTGAAGAAATCTGGTTTACTGGAAAGTGGGTAGTGATGCTGAGGTATCTTTTTCTCTACACAAAGCAGCTTTTAGTGTAATATCTAAGAACAGGTGGATTGTGCCTAGTGTGGCTCTGTGTGAACACTGTGCTTAGATATCACAAATGGACTATAAACAATCATTACTTAAGAGCAGTCATCTTCATACAATCACAATGTCAATTTCCAGGGCCACCTTTAGGTGCAAGGAAACAAAAAGCAAGGGTTCCCTCGCTGCTGGTTTCCTAGCAATGATAAGAAACCTGAAGTACCTAGAAAAATGATATGTACACATGGGCAGGTATCCATGCATTCTGAATCCACTTTCCCTTAGGGTGTTAAAACAGAAACACTGCCTACATTTAGTTATGCCTCAATAAATCTGCAGTAAGTTCACATCTGTTAAGTAGATATTAATTATGTGTTCTGGCATAGAGATCACTTTCATGTGTTTGCTTGGTTACTTGGAATGGCTACAAAGAGTGGAGAAAGCACATAGTTAAGAAAAGTTCTCATTTATTCATGGGTCATTCTAAGAAACACAATTTCAGCTCATCAGAAACTACACTAACTCACAACACTTATGAAAAGAGGCATATTAGAGGTATTAGAGAAAATTAAAAAAGGGAAGGAAAGCTCAGACAATGTGATGGAAGTCACATGGACATAGATTTTACAACATTGCTATAAACAGAGCCTGAGAGTTTAATAGCAGCTGAAACAGGCATTTGTGTTTTACCTCCCAATGCTGAAAGGCTCTGCTGTGGCAAACTTTTTGGAGTTGATATACTGTCAGCATTGCTTCCAAGCTGAAACCATCCAGAGCAGCAGGAAACTGTCTTCCTGAAATGAGATCCTCTTCATCTACCCCTACTGTTTCCCCAGCTTGATTGTTTATGTTGCTGACAAGATTGCAGACGTTTAGCAGGGTCGTTTTCCAGTAAGGGAGTTTTGCTCTGTTAATCTGAAAATACAAATACCCACTATTTAACCTGCTGTAATTTTTCTTTCATTTTTTTAGCAATAATGTGTGACATTCAAACCTTTTGGAAGGAATGAGTTAGTGTGTCTGAAGTACTTTTGGTCTGCTTAACTTCTAGACATTAATTAGAGTGCTGAACTTAGGACAACTCATTTATTAAACACACCAAGTCTGCTTGATATACATGATGAAAATACTAAACTGCTACCAAACCAGAATGGCAGCATTTCATAGTCATTCTGCTCAGGTGCAAACAAAAACACGGATGGAAATTCATATAATATAAATTCACAGGTGTAAATAAGGACAATGAATCAAACACACTGGATAATTTCCCAGTACTGGAATCCAAGGTGGATGCCTGTGGTTAACTAGATGCTCCTCCCCAGTTCAGAACAAATACCAGTCATTTCAAAATTCACTGAGAAAAGGAATGGAGCTCCTGCTTCAGGACAAGCTGGCTGATGAGGCTGGATCTGAAGGCATGGAATGTGTAAGCCCCAGGAATTTTGGATGCTGGAGAGTCAAGAGCCTGTGAGATGTGAATTAAAGGTCTATGGGATTAGATAACTATGGAGCATAGATAAAACAGAGCTGTGTAAAAAAAAGTATTCCTGATTAATTAACTGCACAGAAAGGTTAAGACAAACTCTGTTTAATTGGTCCATAATGAGCCTGTTCAGAGATGTTACAGAAAGACATAAATAAAGACATTTCAATATGGTTTGTCTCAAATTTTGCTTGTTCCAGTGTCTTACATTGTTTATGATCTATTTAACTTTCAAAAAATTTTGAGAAACATAATTTTTACTTTGTTACCGGTATTGTTATTTCCAAGCACTTGTGGTTTTAGGTTATGAAAAATCTCTCGAGGTAGTTATCCTAAAGGAATATGTGAAAACACAGTTTAAGATTATGGTAATCCAAATGTTCAGGTTAATTTCCAATATGTGATGCATTTTCCACACAGGTCTAAGCAACACCAACTACAGTTGCTCAAGACATGTTTTGGAAAACACCTACACAAAAGAACAAGGAACACTTATCTACCAAGATGGAACTAATTTTTTTCAAGATTACCTTGAAAAATATCTGGGAATGATCTGAAGGAACTAAAGAGACTGCAGTATGAACCAGAATTTAAAAGGTATTAATGCTGAACTGAATATGATGTATTTCCATTGTTGAACATGCATCTGAAATAAGACTCAGATATATGATTTTCCACACCTCATCTATCTTGAAAGAGAATTTTAAATCATTTAAGAAACTGAAATGAGCTTGAGAATATTTCCTTCTTTGACAATAGGCTTGTCCTATGCAAGATTAAAAAGATTCCCAAGTTATAATTTATATGTTATTTTCTATCCATTTCTATTTAAATGATACCCCTGATAGTTTGCTCAAGGTACTTGCTTTATTATAATGCATACCTCCCAAACACTTTTTTTTAGAAAATAGAAAGTCGAGCTATCCACTTTTCATATTCTTGTCTTTACCTAGTGAAAGCAGACAAAACCCAAAGTCATAACCAAATAAAAAACCCAAGCTGATGTAGGATCTCTATGGTTCCTTTCCAGAATAGTTGTTGAATTTTGTTCAGAATGTAACCACAAAAATAATAAAAATATTCTCTGTCTTTAAGCAGATACAGTATTGAGTTCTGTTACAGCAGAAGTTCTTCCTTTGTGTATGCTAATGCCTGTAAACCTAATGAGTTTTTATGTGAAGACTGAGTCCGGAAGTCAGGAACTCCTAGGCAGATCTAGGTAGCTCCTGCTCCTTGGAAGCTCCTCTGATAAGGAGACCAACCTCTCTGGGCAAATACAGTCATCCTAAAACAATGAAAAGCTCAGACGGTCCAAAGCTTCAGAAAATTAGTGTCAGGTGGGATAACAAAGGTGGAGTTTATTTTAGTAGTAATACATGCTTCCAGGAAAAACTTTTGCTTTTTTCACCTTTTTTTTCCCCCTAGAACTAACGTAGCCTCAATCATTTTATAGTTCAAGACATTCTTTGTACAAGTAGTGGTTTCAGGCAAGCATTTAGAAAGCTGGGAATAGAGTTATCTTTTGTAGGAATAGAGTTTTCTATTCAATACAAAAGACAGACGGGAGATAACTGTCCACATATTTGTGACATGTCAGGTTTACTGTTTTACCAGATATTCCAAATGGCTCTTTGGATTTTATCTTAGAGAAAAAACAGATAAAGAATTTTAGGGACTTGTTTGATCCTTGTACCTTCTTTGAGAGGTAACAACAGTGAAGGGTGATAAACTGTATTAAATGTTGAAGACCGGTTGTAGTAAGTATGGACATGTTTCTTTAATGATAGAGAGTAATTCAGCATATAGATGACTTTACAAAGCAGCTTGAGAAGGGCCAGCAGACACTGGATAACAGTCTGTGAGGTCAAAAGAATATGGCAACTCTGCTCATAATATTAGATAGACTACTGAATGTTCCAAAAGGTATATGCTTAAGTCCTAGCTGTACTCTTCATACTCTACTTCACAACAGTATACTTTGGAAGATTTTTTTCTGTTTGATGCTAGACCCACAAGTGAAAATCCACTTTTCTGTATTTTTAGATCTGTAAGTTCATAAATAATATTTTTATCCCCATCTTAATGCTATGTAAATTGTGGGGATTTCTTTTTCTCCTTATTACCAAATCAGTGACAAAACAGTTTATTCAAATTAGCCGTAACTGCCCTCAACTGGAACCAGATCTCAGGCACAACACAAGACAGCTATTACATATACCAGCTTCAAATTTGTCTATCACACCAGAACCACACCTTCATTCTGATGAGGATTAAAAGCTAGCAGAGGACAACAGAAAAAAAAAAAGCAAAAAACTCATTTCATTACTGAGTGGAATAGCAGTATGCCTCTTGTAGAAGAGTTGATGAACATTTTTTAGTGGTTCCACCATCCCTTGCTTTGATGTCAAGAGACGATGTATATTGAGCTACTGAATTTTAGATGGTCATTTAAGGCAGTACAATGCATAATTAAAGCAATGTCTCCCACATGTATCTCCTGCTTCTGTCTACATCAAATATAATATCACTTCAGTTATGGTAAATACCATAAGGAAGTTGAATAGTAAGCTACATGGCATAAAGCAACATAGAAGTATTATAGCAAACATCATTACATTATCAACTGGTGCAATATATTTGTGCGTCTTGAGTTACCTGAGATTGTGTTCTGTGGTGAGAGGTAGGAAAAGATGGAAGTTATGTTCACAGTTACACTAAATTCAATAGCAGAAATATTAATAGCTGCAGGATTTCCTTCCAGGGCATACCATGCTTTGCCACACAGAGAAAGAACTGGTTTTGTTAGTTCCCTACATTTAAATCTGTCTCAGAAAAAGAGTAGCTGTTAAATCTTTCTGTGCATTAGAGAAGTGAGTGGTGAACAGGTTTATTTGTCACCTGAGGTTAATTACCATGCCAGTAAAGGACATAGAAACCTAAGTACTGCCAGACCACATTAAAAAGATGTATTTTCTGGCCTCATCTCTTCTTCGAGTGTATTCAAGAATCCTGTGGAAAAGCTCACATATAAGCATGTACAGCAAATGCAGAAGTCTTCTTGTCAGGTTTTATCCTTAACCTTCAACTAGTCATTGGCTTATGAAATGATCTTTTTTTAAGAGAGGTTTTTCATGTCTCCTTTTATTTTCCAGTAAATTTAACCACCACTTTAACTTCATTGGAATAAAGAATTAAAACATTCAGCTTTAAACTAATGGCACTTGTTTCAGGGTTTGCTCTTTAATATGTGGCTGAAGATTTATCAGACATATATATTTCTTAGATCATTTGTGGAAAATACTAGTGTTGAGAAAGTGTTCGTCTATCAGCCCGTTCAATACGTATCTGCAACACTTGCTGCTTCAACTTTTCAATGTGAGATTGTAACTGAATTTTTATCTATTTGTATTAAATAGCATGTACATCATTCACAGTCTGGCAACTTGTCAAGGGAACACCATTTATCAGATTAATATTTCCACATTCACGTCCCCATGTTCCTGTACTAACACTGTGATTAATTTTCTAAACCAAAACTGGCATATGTATTAACAATTTTTGCTTTATGACTGTCTGAATTTTATATGCATACAGGAAAAGTTGTGCATAAAAGTAGCACTTACAGATTTGACTCAAGGTTAATTTAGCTTTCATCAGGCATAATCTTATTGGAAACACATTTCCTCATATAAATTTACATCTCTGCACTTAACACAGTTTTGACAGTTTAATGAAAGTACCAGTGTTACAACTGAGGAGCACTTTTAGTGTGTCACATCAACACCTTTAAGTTTCCTTTGAACTGGGGAAAATCTTGCACCAAAGTAAAACCTAACACTGAACTTTTTGGTCTGGACTATAGGTTATTATTTTGTGCAAAGACTTCTGGGTTTGTAATGAGAATTCATTTGCTCCCTACCTGTCAGCTAAAAGAGGAAAAATAATTACCTTTGATGTGTACATATTGGTCAATAAATCTGCTTCTAATGCTTTCATTTCCTCTTCTGAATCTGGGAATAAACCAGAAACATATGTTTATTATTTGATCATAAATCATGGACATTTCAATTCAGTATACAGAACTTAGATATATCAACGAGTTTTGAAAAACAAACACACAAACACAACCTAGATAAAACCACAGCAAAGTGACCTAGAGGGACTGCAATGAGTCTCCAGGTAACAGCAATATTATGTTAAAATCAATAAACTCACTATCTTTTTAAAGCATGATCAAGCTTATTGAAGTGAATGAAACAGTTCATTAATCTCAGTTCAATGGCAGACAGGTCTACTAAACTGCAGTCCTTTCAGTAAAAAAAACTGCCACAATATTCTTCATACAAAATCATTATAATTTTCATAATAAATATTTGTCACCTCTGCTTGCTTTGGAATAAGAATTTGGATATTTATTTTCAAATAATATTTATTTAAGAGGTAGAGAAATATTTAGGTGAATGGCAGTTATGATTACTAATAATAGACTTGATTCTTCTTAGTTAAATTAAGGATATTTTTACTGATATGAGGGAATTGAGCTTCACAAGTTTGTGATACAAGCTCTTGACAATGCATATGCAAAAAGAAAGTATTCTGACTGGAAGTCTTACAATTTTCTTTACTGATTTCATTGACCTTTGATAGCTCAGTAGACTTGCAAGATTTGTGATTTGGTGAATAGGGTAAATACTGCAGTAGAAAGAGAAAACAGGAACAAAAATTTCTACTTTGTGCTGTAGAGAATCACAGCGGAAGATCTGGTGCCTTGAAAATGAAGCGGAAGTCACAGACCAAAGAGGAGAAACACATGGAAATCAGTTGTCTTTAGGTGAAACAGAATTCCATGTAACTTTTAGCACTCCTGGATTACCTGCAGTCCAAACCCAAACAATACACTAATATTTCAAACCAAACTAAACCAAAATCTGCTCCATATTCATATAAGTCATATCTCATTTTCATTAAAATTATCGATGCTGTTGGCATGTAACACCCTACCACAAAACCTTCATGATTTGTGGTGTCCTGAGTCATACCAGCTGAGAACAATAAAAGAACTTGTGACTGGTTAGCATCTGGTTTTTGCATTCTATAGAGGATGGAAGATAGCTTCCACACCATCAAGGCTGGAAAATAGCTGCAGATGTAGAAGGTGGACAGGTATTAAGAAGCATTTGGATTGAGAAAAGAAGTCTAGAGGACATTACTTAGGAGTCTAGGCAAGATTCCTTGAGTGAGGAATAAAGCAAGGCTTGGAGGAAGAGAAGGAAGCATGTCCACATAACTCAGGAATGAAAGAGATGGACACAGAATAAAAGCATGAAAAGAACAGACTCTCAGAGAGCAATATATACAAAGTCTGGCTACACAGTATTGTTCATATCAGAGGGAAATTCACACAGCTTGATGTCTTCTTGATTCTACAGACAAGAAAAGTAGTTTCTATTCATATACTCGCACTTTACAGAACAGTTACATTCTACACGTACACACTTTTCCCTGAGGGCAAACATTTTCAAGAGAAAATAAAATGAATGATCATTTTCTTTATGACATAACTGCTCATATTAGTTAAAACTGATTTTCCCCTTCACACACATGCTCCTCCATGGCATTTCTCATTTAAAAATAATTTTACATTTTAAGCAAATAAACTTCATGTTACACATACAATTTTTCTTGTTTATGAACCTATTTTAATTTCCACTGAGTTTTACTTTAGTGTGTTTTCATTCAGGCTCTACAAAGAGTTGAATTAGAAATTGACTCACTGAAAATGCTAGGAAAGAATTTATTTAAAAAGCAACAAATACATGAGGAGGGAAAAAAATGTCAAGCCTTGTCACTAAGATTATCAGCTTTCTATAGTATACAGAATGATTACATGTAAACTGTGATAAAACACAGGTATTATGTGTATTACATTTTACTTCTGCAGGGGAATACAATTTGGAAACTTTCTTCTAAAGTGAGAATTAGGAATTCTGCATCCTCCTAAATACTGAAGCTCCTTGTAAATTTCCTCATTAAATTTTGTGTAGTTTAAGTAATTTGCAAGCTAGTTAAGACTGAATTTTGAAGGCTATTCTGCTTCATGTCTGTGTGTGTGCACCTGTTTAATCATCACAATACCTATTTTTGGTCATAAACTTAGGACCTACATGGCACATGCTTAAAATCTGTCATTTTCCAAAGCAGCAGGCAATGCATTTTAATATATGGTCCTCCTTCTGAGTTTTCTAAAGCAGTTGCTCTTGGAGTAGAAATGCATTTATGTTAACCTGCCTATTGTGTTATCTGCATTTGCATCAGTATTTTTTGGTCATAATTTCAGATCAGTTGCTAGCAATTCTTTTCCCAGACAATAAAATTGTATTTCAGTCCCTAAAAAGTGATTGAAGTGCATACATATTCATGTTGATTTAGATTATGGCAGCTATTGGCACGAGTTGCAAAAATTGTAATTCCTATCATAATTCTGAAATACATGATATTCAATGACACATGAATGAAGTGGCATAACCGAGCAGATGGTCTACACTGATTTATATTTCCAATAACCAGACTACACTAACTGCCACGGTATAGATGTTGTGAAGAGGCTTATATGAAAGGAGAAAGTTAGGGGAGTGATACAAAAAATGATGCTGGTCAGAGCCCGTTATCAGGACCAGCTCCTGGACGCCTACTGGGGACAGTCGGGGGAGCCCGAAGCGACTTCACCTCCTTCCTCCAGGCGCGTCCGGCGGCGGCGGGAGCGGCTCGGGGCCAG